AGTTTCACAAATTTCTTTCACTTTAATAATAATGTGTTTTTGAATATGAGATCAAGTAAAAATTCTGACAGTTATTAATAGTGAACAGATTTAGCGATTCGTTTCGATCTTGTATTTATTGGTGGTTACGTGTTCTTTTTTTATTTTTCCTTCACTAGTTTTTACTACTACATAAGACTATTACTCTATACAGTGAGCCCCTGCCTATTCGCGTTTCAGCATTCGCGGTTTCACATATTCGCGGATTTTTCTCATGTACTTGTTTTTCGCGGAAACCCCGAATATTCGCGTCTTTTTTTTTCTGAAGAAAATATGTACAAATTATTCACTTTGAAGTCCCACGATTCACGTATTTTTTCGATCGAACATATTTCAAATATTCTTCTTTTATTTTCTTGTTATTGAAATGACTTAAATCATATAACCGTCTATTTTTATGATAAAAATCGGCAGAATTGTGCATCTTCATTGTAAAAAACAAACGCAAAAACATACGTAGTGCTTGGGCTTTGTTCTTTTTTAGGGGCTGCTTCTTAAAAATGGCTTATGCTAAGTCTGGGGGCATCATCACAGATCAGTTTTTAGAAAATGTTTTAAATTTTATATTTTATGTTACGTTACACATGTTTTATACAATATTTTCAATGGTTGTATCGATCTATGCGTAATTAAAAACGGTTATTGTACGTATGAAGGAAAATTTACTCTAAGTGTATAGACACGAAAACTATTTTTCAAAAATGTTTTAAAAATGATTTGAAAATTGTCTAAAGTTTTTAGGCTTAAAGTTTAAGTCATATAGGGTTTTAACAATCAAAATAGGTACTTATAAACACATTTAGGGGGAGGGGTTACAAGATTTCGCGGATTCTAAATATACGCAACAGGTTCTGGTCCCTAACACTCGTAAATAAGGGGGACTTACTGTGTTTAATTAAATAAAACTTTGAGTGAAATTTATGTTCTCAGCAATAAATTTGATAAAGAAAATCGGGAAATATTTATGAATAAACCAAATGGAATAATGTGAGAATATTATTTTGAGTGAGAAACAGGCGTATTTAAATTTGTTTTTTTCAAAGAAATGCGATTTTACAAGTATGATGCACTAAGGTTTTGCTATTTCTGCTTAAGTGAGGATAAAAGTTTAAGCCATATGGATTTTAAAAATCAAAATAGGTATTCATAAGCACTTGGCGGGGTTTACAAGTATTCGCTGATTCTAACTATCGAGGACGCTTCTGGTCCTTAACCGCCGCGAATACGGGGGACTTACCGTATTGCGTTTGGAGAAACTCAATGAACCGAACAGCAGAGAAAGAAAGTATGAACGTGAATATTGAATATTGTTTAGAAAGAAGCTAATATTGCTACCCTACGGTAGTTATTTTTATGATTTCAGTATCGATGAGGAACCCCACTTCAGTTCTTTTATTCCAGAATACATTAAACGTATTATAAATCACGTGACGGAAAGTAGTTTATTCGTGCATTTTTTTATGGTGCTATCATTAGTCAAGTAGTAGTGTAAACGTTGGTTTGGTAAACTTGAAAAGATAAGACAAGTAAAACCATTTCCAATTCTCTTTTATTTTATCTTTTTAAATTATCAATAGAATACATTAGAAAACACAGATTTGTTTCACTAAAGCACATCCACCTAAACTGTAGACGTATAACGAGGAAGAAGAATAAAGAAGAAGATAAAAACAAAGTAATGCTAAGCATCAGAAATAAACAACTGAGAATTTCTGTGACAAATAAAGAGAAAACACAGCTTGCAGGACCCAATATTCAGAAGGAAATGGTAATCGTAATATTAGTCGTTTCCATGTAAAGAAATCTTCGATATATATTAAAAGAGCAGCCAGTGCTATTGCGCTCGAAATATACTAAAAATACTTTATCTTAAACCAATTTTGCAAGCAAATATGTTTCTTATATACTCTGTTATCGTTCGTTCTAGTATTGATGGGAATTTCCTACCTAACATATAACCATTGCGGAATTTGAAAATCTTCATTATATCTTTGTTTTTCCATGAGTTACATGTACCGTCAATTTTAGTCGTTGCTGCTGTTAAAAGTAATGAAGTCATGTAGGTTCCGTTGTGCCAATACACCAGGTGCAAACAAGGGTGGTCCTCGATAAAAGGCCTACAGGTTTCAGTAGCTCAAAGTAATTTTTAATCACTGATCATAGAAAGCCGTTGTCCACAGGAGACAGTTTCGATATTTCAAAAGGCATCTGTCGACCTGCATGACTTCCATTTGAATGTCGGTGGAAACAACGAGTATCCTACTTAACGTTTATATGAATGGGTTACACAATCATACAAGGAGCTGGAGAGAGAATCAAGAAGAAACAAAAACAGAAACAGTGGATAGACTATAAGAATACCAGCAATAGTGTCTTATATAAAAGAAAATTACCAACGATACTTATTCATAGTAAATATACCAAGAATACACTTTATAGCAAAAGGATAAACAATACATTTTATCAGTAGTCAAAGCCATAAAATTGTGTTCAGAATATTTAGATTAAATGCGCCATAGTGGTGTTGATATGCCGCTTAATAAAAACAACTAAAGTGAAAGAACCCTTTCAAGATATTAATTCATAAAATATCCTTCAATTACTTTAAGATATCAAGCTGTATCACGAAATATAACTTCAACAACACTACAACATAAAACACACATATCACCGCCGCTAGAAATTATGTCCATACAGACACGTATATGCACAAAAGCCGTGTATCATTTACTATGTATTCAACTGCGAAGGCATAATAACATATATCATATTTTTTTAACTTTAAATCTGCCAAGAACATTACATTTCAACATTAAATGGCCCATAGTTGATATGCCGTTAAACAAAGAAATCATATATATCATATCTGCTAGAGTCCCAAGAGATGTTCAAAGTAAAGTTTTTATTTGTGAGATTACCCATCAAACACGATATGTGAATGTCATCAGGGAGGGCTCAGTGATGGTGGATCATTATTAGCTGGGTTTTGGAGGTACTGTATTTTACAAGACAGTTCTCCCCCACCAATTAAACCACTATAGTTCAGCAAGAGGAGAGGCCAAATGACAAGTTCTGGTCATTCATTGTAACTATAAATAGTTGGGTCATCCGCATACATATTCACTAAACCTATGCACTTAGGATGATTATTAATATAGCGAAAACCCCGAGCAACGCCGATATTTATCTCATGGGTTTCTGATGACTTGGAGTTAAACCCGACTACCAGGAACCTACCTATTAGGAAGGATTTTGTATTTGAGATAGTCTTTATCAATATTCATCCAAACATACAAAGTCCGTTTCCAAACATAAACACTAATGAGCCTAGTGATGAAGAAATTCAGAAAGTTATGACAAAAAAGGAATAATAAAGCATCTGACGACATTGAAGCAGAACATCTCAAAATAACTTACTTTCTCTCCGAATTCAATAACAAGTTCTTCTGTTTCATGATAGAAAACTAGAACCAGAAATACATCCCCCAAAATGGGGGTTTTCAATCACTAATGGACTATCAAAACAGAACGGTGGACCTCAAAGCACTCACACATTCAGAGCAATCTCAATTGAATTAATCATAGTGAAAATATTAGTACGGGCTTCTTCAGGTCGTTGGAATGTCGAACTGAACCCTTTATTTCGCTCACTGGGGTAGACTGTTCTAGTTCTACGTGCCAAGTTTAATGGATGTTAGTTAACAGTTATCTCCTGTTAATTCCCTTCTCCAAATTCTCTACTGCCATAACCGAGTATTGAACTCACACTCTTTGGTTTCTGTCATTGGATCTAACTAATGCCTTTATCCAATGTGCCACGTGTCCTTGAAACATGTTACGTGGAACTAGAACAGTCCTCCTCAGTAAGCGAAATAAAGCGTTCAGCTCGACATTCCAACCAAATGAAGAAAGCCGGAGCGTGCAATGGCCGAAACATTTTAATAAATATGGAGACAAAGATAAAAACAATCGTTCGAATAATGTAAATAATGTCCTCTTTTTTTTCTTTTGCTTCTTTTTTTCCTGACTAAAATCAAACAACGTCTCTGATATATATTTTCCTTCCGACTTTCCTCGTAGTCGAAATGGAATTGTCCATTATTTATTTGTGGCAATGTCAAGACTATCTTATGAAGAAACGGAGAAAGATAAAGTATTATAATGATTTTAATGTACTTGCTTCACAAACGTACACACACCCATATATGCATACACATTATATATATGTATATATATATATATATATATATATATATATATAATACATATATATATATATATATATATATATATATATACATACATACATATACATACATACATACATATATATATATATATATATATATATATATATATATATATATATATATATATACAGACATACATATAGATGTGTGGGGAGTGTATATGAAGGGTTGTGTGTCTATGCATGCGTTCGAATAAAATTTAGTCGAAATAATTAGATTTGTATACAAACCACTTGCAAAGCTAAGATAAAAATCCTGAAGCGAAAAGAAGGCAAATAAAACCAGATTGTTGAAACGAGAATCAAAATAAAGAAATACAAATGCGAAGTAATAAAATACAATTGCCGGCGCTCTTTTTGAGTTTTCCTTCATATCGATCGATTTTTCTTTCTTGGAGACATGATCGATATCGGAAATTCAATAGAAAACTTACAAATAAACGTCCAAAATACTAAACACATTAGTATTGTATTTCCATACCAATAATTGTCATCATGATGATGATGATCATCATCATAATACTATTTTATTAATATTATTATACTAATATTCTGTTTTCACTGCAGTGGTATATATTGGCAGCCATGGGAGATCACGTGACACTAAGTTTCATTAGTACATCAGAATCTTTGAATTCAAATTGTTGATCGTAATTCTATATTTTGGATACTTTCAATGAAGACTTTCCAGTTCTTCTTGCGTTTAATGCAGGTACTTCTTGCGTCTGTGTAAGGTTCTTCCTGCATCTATGCAAGGTTATTCCTGCATCTATGCCAGGTTCCTCACGGGTCTAAGCCAGGTTCCTCCTGCGTCTATGCAAGATTCTTCACGCGTCTACGCCTTGCTCTTCATGCGTCCAGCCAAGGTTCTTCCTGCGTCTATGTAAGCTTCTTAATATCTCTTCGCGAGGTTCCTCCCGCGTCTATGTAAAGTTCTTCCTGCATCTATGCAAGGTTCTTCCTGCATCTAAACCAGGTGCTTCCCTCGTCTAAGTCAAGTTCTTCCTGCGTCTATGCAAGATTATTCCTGCGTTTATGCCCGGTTATTGCTGTGTCCAACCAAGATATTTTTTGCGTCTATGCAATGTTCTTCCTATGTAGGTGCTTCCCGTGTCTATGCAAGTTTATTTCTGTGTCTATGCAAGGTTCTTCCTCTGCCTATGCAATGTTCGTAACGTTTCTAAACCAGGTTCTTCCCGTGATAAGCAAAGGTTCTTCCTGCGATTATGCTCGGATCTTCCCGCATCTAAGCAAAGTTCTTCCTTTATTTATGCAATGATCTTTCAGCGTCTATGGAAGGTACTACCTGCGTATCTACTAGTCTCTTCCTGCATCTAGGTAAGGTTCTTCCTCCGTTTAATCCCGGTTCTTCCCGGGACTAAGCAAAGTTCTTCCTCTGTTTATGCCACGTTCTTCTTTTCCTGCGTCTCTACAAGATTTTTTCAGGCGCCCCTGCCAGATTCTTCCCTCGTCTAAAACCATTACCTGTGCCTTTTCTAGATTCTACATCTATGCGGGGTACTTCATGCGTCTATGCCAGGTTCTACGCGGTATTATTCCAGATTCTTCCTGTGTCTATGCATCTTTCTTCCTGCGTCTTTGCCAGATTCTTCCTGTGTCAATGAAAGGTTCTTATTGAGTCTATGCAAGCTTGTCTATCAGTCTATGTCAGGTTATTCCTGTGTCTTTTTGTCATACCTGAACGTACCTATTCTATTATTAATAGAATCTCCCACACATAATAAGTAGTAGTAGTAGTAGCAGTCGCCAGTTGAGCTCAGTGGAGTTGAGTGAGTCAGTCGATGTCGGACATTGAAGTATCAACCATCACAACTAGATTGCTGCGTCATTAACTCTTATTTCAAGTTTCTAACGTTTTGTACGTCAGACCCCTTTTAGGTCCGACTTCGCGAAATACAAGCCTCCACTGTGAAAACTACAACACTTTTCCAGTTCCCTCCTGAGTTTTTGCCAGATACTATCTGCGTATTTGCCATGTTCTTCCTGCACCGATGCAAGGTCCTTCCTGCGTATATTGCAAGATGCCTCATACCTCATTTCCTGGACCTTCCTCTGTCTATGCAAGATTCTTCCCACATATTTGTCAGTTTCTGCATGTGTCTATGCAAGATTCTTCATGCATCTATAGAAGGTTCTTCTTGCATCTAAGCCTTGTTCTTCCTGTGTCTATGCCATGTTCTTCCTGCGTATTTTTCAGATCGTTCCTACATATATTCCAGGTTCTTCCTGCGTTTTACACAGGTCCTTCTTGCGTATTTATCAGGTTCTTCCGGCGTCTATGCAAGGTACTTCTTCGTCCTTTTCCAGGTTTCTTCCTACGTCTATGCAAATTTATTCCCGTCTCGTTCATATGCAGTTTTTTTTAAATTCACTAATAAGATAATTTTTTTTAAATTTTGCTTTCTATCATATTTAGTTCTTTGCAACAAATACTCTCGCTCTCTTATAGTAATTCTTTCCTTCATTCATTAAAACATTATCTAATCTCTTGGGAAAAAGCGAATAATCTATTTCAATTTAAAATCCAACCTCCTAATCAACAATTATTTCTAAAACACTCTAAACCAAAGGATACATATTCTATTCATACAAATCTATCCTAAAAATGTAGTCGACATTAAATAACCCATTGGGGCAGATATGCCGTAAAACAAAATAAACCAAACCAATCTAAACCAAAGAATACATTCTCTATTCATACGAATCTATCCTAAAAATGTTGTCGACATTAAATAACCCATTGGGGTTAATAGGACGTAAAACAAAATAAACCAAACCAATCTAAACCAAAGAATGCATATTCTATTCATACGAATCTATCCTAAAAATGTAGTCGGCATTAAATAACCCATTGGGGCAGATATGCCGTTAAACAAAATAAACCAAACCAATCTAAACTAAAGAATACATATTCTATTCATACAAATCTATCCTAAAAGTGTTGTCGGCATTAAATAACCCATTGGGGTTGATATGCCTTAAAACAAAATAAACCAATCCAAACCTTCTTCATTTGGTGATTTTCTCACGGATTTTTACAGCTATTGATTTCATATCTAGTTACGTTTTTTAAATTACTTGCTTCGGTTATCACGGCGTTGGCTCTAAGATTCTGCTGAAATTATCGATCCCCATTATTGCAATCATTTTGTTTTTTCTAGCCTGTAAAAAACAGCTTACTTTTAAGTCATTTGCAGGGTATTTAAGATTATATCATTTGCTAGCATTAATATTAAACCATTTGCAAACACCGTTTGAAAGGCATTAACAGAGATCAAGCTAGAAGTGTGACCATTTGTCGCAAGTCGTCGACCTTATCCTTCCTGTTAGTCACCAAATAAATACATTCAGGTCGCAACACACAAATCTTGAACGTGCAATTCATTTTTCTTAATCGCAGATTTTGAGTTTGCCGTGACCTTGTCTGGTTTTGACGTAACGAAAAAAAAAGCGGCTTGATTATTCACAAATATGTTTGAATAAGAGCGACGTCAGTGATCCGGTGACTCTTAGCAACCATAGATTCCGATATTGGCGTGATGTGTGGAATTATATAAATGGCGTCTGTAATAAGTGGAATACGGATATTACATGCAATGTAAAGATTGTCAGGTCATTTTCGCTAACTTAAAGGTAAATGGACAGAATAGTATCATATGTTGTAAACAATTCAATTGTCTATATATTACATATGTAAAGGTAGGAATAAAGATAAAAGGAAAACTTAAGTAGCAGACGCGTATTGTAATTTGATGATCTTTATCAAGGCAAATATACGTATTTCATTTTTCATTGATTCATCCATTTTGCAGGTTATTTGAAGCCAAAAAATAGTTTTAGATTGTGATATTTTTTTTTAGGTCTTACTAATTAACACATAGATGGGGGAGAAGAGGTGGATCCATACCCTTCCAAACGGTATTTGCCCGTATGTGAATATAACGAAGCTAAATGGAATTAGAACTAGACTTTCCTTTTAACAATTCGGATTCATCATCTATTACATCACCAGCACATTTAAGCTTACCCCACCTGGTACTCCCAATCGCCCACCAGTCTAGATACTGACCAGGCTCGACGTTACATAATTTTGCTGACCGTACGGGAACCAGTGTTTCAACCTGATGTGAACGTAAGACGAATTTCATTTTGTTACAAGTATTTATAAACCTAAATAAAAATGTCGTTAGAACTTCAGAATTTTTTAATTCAATAACGCCGTATCATATACGTCAGGCTAACTGAAACTCAAGACAAATTATGGAGGACCCTAAATAATATCATCTATTTTAATATCTAAAAAAAACGAAAGTAATTAAATGTTGATATTGTTCGTTATTTCCTTAATGTAATTATTTATATTGTTTTAGTTTGAGATTAATTTATCTATTATATATTTTTAAATAATAGAAGGTTCTGAATTTAAACGCATCATTTTAATTTTTAAAAGATGTATAGTCATGTATGCTGGCTTAGGAAAGAGGTATTTCTTTTAGGAAAAGAGATATTTGATAAATACCGGGGTTCAGATTTATATTTTGATAAGATTCTTTAGCGGATAAGATTCTTTAGCGGAACTCTGAAGAATTTGTGATTGAACCTATTTCTATGTACAAAAAATGCATTTGATAAAATTGTTGTGTATAAATTCTCTTTGTTTCATAGAGACATTTTTTTTAAACTTTCTGCAAGTTTTCCCAGTATATCGTTGGGAGCAGCTGTGACAGTTTATTTCATATGTAACTGTTAACAGAGATATAATTTATATTTTGGGTTCGGATCATAACTAAACGGTGTTCCAATAACTTGGACTGATTTTAAATATGAATTCTTTTCTTTCAGATTTAACAACTTAAATCTTTGGCAATTTCAAGCATGGAAAGATTAACAATCAAACGCAGTGTTAAAGTTATAGAGGCCTATTACGAAAAAGGCTTTTTTGAATGAGAAATACCCATCTCTCGGAACTGTGACGTCAATTGCCGCCATGTTCGTGCGACTTGACGCCTTTAGTTTTCTTCGTTTGGGTTCATCTCAAAAGTAAGGTCTATGCCAACAAGCCAACAACAATCCAACAGCTGAAGGATGAGATAATAAGGCGTAACGGTGAGATAAATGAGCAACTATGCAGAGACGTCATCAAAAAATTTTAACCATCGTGTGGAAGTGTTCCTCCGAAGCCTTAACGGACATTTGGGCGATATTATTTTTCACACATAATATCCATGATTTAAATAATATGATCCAATAGAGAAATAGATAAATTTTCACCAATAGCACTGATTTATTCACTGCTGACTTTGATCCGTCTTAACCAATCACAAGACATGAGCCACATTTGAGGATTTGTTAAAATTAAACTCACTACATGTCATTCCTTGTATTTACATTAAATTGCTTACATACATTGCATTTTCAGAGGTATATTTTACAACACTTAGCCTTTAAAGTTTTTAATAATAGCCGTAAGAAGACACGTTCTGTCGTAATTATGCATTTTACGAGTAGAAAAATAAGGACTACTATGAAAAGAATTTTTTTTTATTATTTCTAATCAATATTATTTTTTGATGTTTTATACACATATATATATTTGATGTTCTAGTTTCTATAAAAACGGCAATGGTAACTACTGAAATTAAACATAAAGAAGAAATAAATTCCTAAGACACCTGTCTGGGCCAAAAATGCACATTAAAAGATTTGGCAGTTAATAGGTTAATTAAACACCATTTATAATAGTTTTGGATGTGGTTCTAAATATTCTGATATTGTAGACATTGGATATATTGTTTAGGATAGATGATGTTATGCAGTTAGAAACTAGGGATATATGCTTGTTTTTATATAGAATATTGACATTGTCATTGTGGCTGGTGTTAATTTCATTATCTTTTTTGTACTTGTATATTTTTGTATCTTTCTCTTAGCATTGTTGATGAACTAATGAAAATATTTGATGTTTTAAAGGTGGTAATTTTTCGTGCAGTGTCTATTAAAGTTCAAGTGATTTTACTTTGTTTAGAGAATTGGAATTCTACGCATGAATTATTAGTCCATATGGAGCGCATAAATATATTTACACAAATCTCAGAAATGTGGCAACGCCATATTGCGTTTTCAATTATAGTTTCCATGGCATATTTTCATTTTTTTTTTCTCGCTTATCTCATCCACGCGGTGAACTTTTCAATGCAACACTCTCACTGCTACCTTTTCTACAAAGATGTTCTTTTGTGTGCTGACACAAGGAAAGCCACCTGTTTGCTCTAGTTAAATTGTAAAGCTGAAATAGACGCGAATATTCTGCGTCATTTACACGAAACCATGATTCAAGACAAATTCTGCACTTTCAACATCCGGGCTAATATGGCTACCACTAATTTTCTTTCACGTCTCGTACAAAGTTAAACGAATTAAAACAGTTAAAGAATGAAAAGGGATAACTATCGCTTAACACGTGTGTAATTAGCATTGTATTAGGCAAAATTACACAGATTAAGTAACAGTAAAAGAAAAAGGTTAGATGTGCGGTTAGTGTTATGGCTATCTCTGCTGAAAATAGAATCATTGGTTCGAGTTCAAATTCCATCATTGTCTGTTAGTTTTACTAAGCAC